TCCAATAGGTTTAAAGGCAGCATCCGACAGCGTGTTGTTACTGTTACCTTTAACATCTCAAATATTGTTTTAAAATAAACGAAAAAAATAGCTTTATATTTTTATTTTTTAAAAATTTCTGTTACAGTATTAGTTTTCACAAATTTGTTTTACTAACCTTCAGACGTAGAATCCATTTGGTTGTGTTCCTATTCTCTAACTACTTTTATACGTTAAAACTTTTCGCTTTTTATTACAATAATGTTGTGCTTGGGAGAAGGTCACACTACAAACGAATATAAAGCGAGGACTTAGGGAATAGCTACGGTGACCATCCGCCGTTTATTTTAAAGGACAGTCCTTTATTTTAACGCCCTGTTCTTTATAATTTTTGTCAAAATAAAGCACGCCATCTGTCCTTTATTTCTTAAACTGTCCTTTAAATTAGCTTTGGACTTTGAAGAGGACAATTTTTAAACATAGAATATGAAAAAATAAAAATTACCATAATAGAACAGAATGAAAACCTTGGTCAGTTTGCTTCGCACCCCACCTAATGGTCACGAATCCTTGATAATACTGATAAGGGGAAATTTATGTAATTGAAAAAAAAAATTAACTAATATTTAGACATTTTCCCAGAAAAATTAATATACTTTGAATAAAATTCATTGTTGACAAAAGCATAGGGAAAGTTGTGCCCAGGAGCGTGTTGCACACGTTGCTAAGTTTTCAGATCCACTGAAAAATAACAATAAACCTCCGCTCAATTATGATAAACGCATTGTGGTAGCAAAGGATGGCGAAGTCCTTGATAAGGAATTTGTTTCTTCGGTTACAGCGCCTTTCGAGAAGAGGAACTTGTACAATTTAACAATATAATTAACTGGCAAATATTTGATCTAAATTACCTTCATACAAGTTGTATGTTCATATTCTAAAAATCATTGGGAAAAATGTATGGTCGTTACAGTGAAAAGTTTTCGCTTCTTAGGTGATCCATTTAGCCAACTAAATGTCAAAAGAGGCCTATCTAGAAACTTTATTTTCTCGAATTTCGGCCGCACTTTTGGGATTCGGCCGCACTGTGTGACGTCAGGATTTTTTAAAGGACTTTGAAATTTCGGATATTAGGCGTGTTTTTTTTTTACACGCATACGTATCTGAGCTTAAAAATTGTATGGAGCTCTAAGCGACAAACTTTATGTGCGCTTATGAATAGTTGTCGATAAAATCAAAATTACTTGTTTTTAAATAGAAATTGGTCGATTATTGTTTTTTTACACGTTAAGCGTAGATGTATATGCGTGTAAAAAAAAACACATAGCTAACATTAATTCAAAAAATTATAAAAAAATGGTGTGCAATGCAGAATAACAATATGGGTATCAAAATATAAATTTGGGACACAAGGACAAATAGGTTTTGAAAGTTATTTAACCCGTAACACCTACTAAAAAAAGTTAATTAAGGTCAGAGCCTGTTAGTAATAATCGAATATAAAATGTAATATTTATCAAAAAGTTAATACAAATTTTATTTCGATTTCAATATAAAACACCATTTATTTGCGTTTTTCCGTGGAGGTCCAAATGGATCATCGATACCAACAACGTAACTTGAAATATCGATACCACGATACCATCGATTCTGGAAATCGGTCACGGTTGTTCTTACAGGAGTAAGCCACCAGCATTTCCACCGATTGAAACGATTCTTGGTGGCCCTTAACGCTTGCATAGGACAATTAAAATGCAACATATCTTACTATATTTTCTTAATTATCCAAGAAACTGTTCTGGAACTCCTCATATAGTAAAAACAAAGGGAAATCTTTAGTTATTTGCCGGATGTTTTTGGGTTGAGGGACGGAGGGGGTGGGGCGTGGACCGCTAAACCCCCTCCACTCGAAAAGAGACAGGCCCCACTTCCCTTCGGGGCCTCCCACAGACCTCTAGGGAACCGTTTGAAAATAGGCGAGGGAAATTGAGCAGTTTGAAGTGGAATATAACCCAACTAACAGAATCTGTGGGGTTTTTAAATGAAAGAAATTATCCCAAGATGGTTATCAGGCGAAAGAAGGGGGCTGAACACCTTTCGCAGAGAACACCTTTCGGCGTAGGCGGACTTCGGCCGCACTTAGGGATTATAACCCTGACAAAGTAGAATTCTTTCTGTTTTGCGAAGAAAAGGAACTGAACACCTTTTGCAGAGAACACCTTACTTCGTAGGCGGCCTTCGGCCGCACTTAGAGATTGTAACCCTCACAAAGTAGAATTCTCTTTCAGTTTTGCGAAGAAAAGGAGCTGAACACCTTTTGTAGAGAACACCTTTCTGGGTAGGCGGCATTCGGCCGCACTTAGGGATTGTAACCCTCACAAAGTAGAATTCTCTTTCTGTTTTGCGAAGAAAAGGAGCTGAACACCTTTTGCAGAGAACACCTTTCTGGGTAGGCGGCATTCGGCCGCACTTAGGGGTTATAGCCCTCACAAAGTAGAATTCTTTTTCTGTTTTGCGAAGAAAAGGAGCTGAACACCTTTTGCAGAGAACACCTTTCTTCGTAGGCGGCCTTCGGCCGCACTTAGGAATTGTAACCCTCACAAAAAAGAATTCTCTTTATGTTTTGCGAAGAAAAGGAGCTGAACACTCACAAAGTAGAATTCTCTTTCTGTTTTGCGAAGAAAAGGAGCTGAACACCTTTTGCAGAGAACACCTTTGTATATTTTTAATGCTTACAGGGTTATATTCCCTCTTCTTTTGTCTGTCATTCTTTTGCATATTTTGGAGTTTGACAGCTGAATTCGGCCATTTAATTTGCATATGCAACCAAAGTCAGACGCGTGATTTTGAAGGTGTTTTTATTTAATGAATTGTGAATAATTGGTTAATATTAAATTCATAAAGAAAGTTATAACTAATCGAGTAAAGTGTAAAGTGAAGGGGAATATAAAAATATATTGGTGTACGCTAATTTCCGAATTTTACAAAAAAGGGCATATTTCAAACCCAATTTGTAAATAAATTAGTGACCAAAAATTACAAAAATGGGTGTTAAAATAATGTGTAGACCCTTGACTACAAGTGTGTGGAAATTTTTTTTGGATCGGCTAACCCGTTTGGACACAATACCTCGAAATATTTAGGCAACGTACTAAAGAGTACCCAAAACAAAATTTATTGTTTACTCTGAATTTTCCTTTTTAGTTCATCACTCCTTTTTAAATTCATAAATTTTACTTTGCGGATAACTTATTTTTATAACATGCAACTTCGTTATCAAATATCAGTTGGTTGAACTTACAGACCTTCCCACCGCTATCAATGTTGTTTCCTCCGTTGTTTTGTGCACATATTTTCGTGACGTTGTAAACTTTAACGACACCATTCTACGATTTGTAGGTAGCGTAGTCCACGTTATCGCTCTTAAAGCTAATACCTCACAACCAGGCAGTGACTGAACGTGTCTCAATAGGAAATCCGTATCCAGCTGGTTGAGGCGTAAGCTACCGATCAAGTCTGGTAGTATCTGTCGGCGCCCTTCAGCG